TGCTGTAGAGGCTGTGACCTCGAATTTGCTCCTGGGAACCTCTGAGAACAGCAGTACAATAAAAAGGGTTCCCCTGCTTCCGAATGTAGGTACAACTGTTTTCTCCCCTCTAGCCCCTTGCCGCTGCTGCTGAGGACCCCAAAAGACAGCCTCTGCTCAGGGGAAATAAAAATATAATTGAGGAGACAATGAAGGATATAAATCAGAAACAAATGTTTAAACCATTCCCGGAAAGTTACCTTGTATTAACTTCTTGACTGGTCGGTCTTTGCAATCCATGGCTGTGAAGAAAAGTGTCAAAGGGTAAGTTATCACATGCTGGAAATAATGAAGGAGCTGATTCATATGTAGCGCCTATCGATCATGTACGAAGTGGATGGCCACTGGGGGTGACTTTGCCACCCTCACCCTGGGGCCTATGGCAATGCCTTGGGACGCTTTTGGTTGTCATGACTCGGGGAGGGTGCTACTCGAATCTAGTGGGTAGAAGAGAGGGAGACCACTAAATGGCCTACAATGCACAAGATGGCCCCCCACGACCAAGAATTATCTGGCCCCAAATGTTAATAGGCTAAGAAATCCTAGCCTGGACAGTTACACCCTCTTTGTTTATTTTCCTGTGGCACTTATAACTCTGAAACTTACGTTGTTTATTATGGTCCCCCCTCCCCCGCCGAACACCAGCTCTGTGACACTGGAGACTTGTTCCACACCCTACCTGGAGCACCTAGCTTGGAGTCTGGCACATTGAGGGAAATCAGTGAATACAGTAACAGCGACAGTAAGGGCAGAGATGAGAGAAAACACTGTATCGCTCATGTCACCATTAATACGAACCCGCCATAAAACATCCTCCAATCCAGCATTTTGAGCCTGCTCCAGGCAAGAGCTGGAGTGCTGTCAAAAAATAATAAGGGAGAATGTTTTCCTGAACCAAAAATATCTCAAGAAAAGCATCTAATAATTTAAAGCTGATGCAGAAATGACCATGAAAAGATCCAAATCTTTGGATAAATATCTTTAAATAATTAGAATAAGAGATGTGGCTTGGAAAATTCCAGTTTATTTTGGGCAATCTACATATGTTTTATAAAAGATACATACAAGTGTTTTTAAAAAGCAGACTGGGGCTTTCTAAAGAACTCAGCTACCCATAGATGAAACTGCCCTCCCCACTTCCAAGCTCGGAATATAAGGAAGGTACCCAGAAGACTCCTAGTTCTATCCATTTCAAGACAATATCATTCTCAAGCTTTTAGTTACCAAAAACATGGATTCCCACGCCCTCTCAAATGAAGGATACATAATTTTTAGCCACTTAAATTTATTTTTAAGACAAGCACAAGGATTTGTTGGTGTGGTCCCGAGTTACCATCTTTGATGCAAGTGACACAGAGGTGACCTGGGCCCAGAAGCGAACTCAAGTCACCCTAAAAAGGGATGCCCTATTCCAGGGATCCGGACTGTTCATGTATAAACAACACTGCTTTTTGCTCTGATATGACATCCCTAATTTTATTTTGTGTTAAAATATCCTTCCTTTTTATAATAATATGGTCATAGCAGGTCATGCTTTTTTTACTTTTTAATTAAAATTAAACATCCTTACAGGGTCAAATGGCTGTCCGTGACAACCAGTCACCCAGACTTTATATGAATTTTACGTTTTTGTGAAATCTCCAAATCTGGAAACAATTTGAGCAGTGGTTCTGCTATGCCTAGATACATTTCTGGTTGTCACAACTGGGGAGGAGAGGTTCTTACTGGCATCTAACGGGTGGAGGCTAGAGATGCCGCTCAACACCCTAAAGTGCCCAAGAGGGCCCCAAATATCAATAGAGCTGACGTTAAGAAACCCTGAATAAGTCCAGTTGATGTCTCTGGCAACCCTTAGTTCACCCAACCAACACACAGCTATACGGCATCTACTATGTGCAAAGCATCCTGCGGAGTGCTGGGGGTAAAACAACCGGAGTTAACCTGGGGAGAGGGCACTCTAGCCTTCCCTGCTTCACTACCGTAAAGGGGCCTGCTAGGTGCTGGAAATCCCTCTCCCAAGAAAGGGAGGAGAGGTACTGGGCTTCACCTTGAATACCGGCAGGATCAAGATTCAGGAATCCCAGCTCCCTGGCAATCCTCAACGTTCAGGCCTCTTACCTGGCCTTGCCCTGACCCGCAGACGCCGCTGTTCTGGCCCGCGAAGCCAGGTGACCCTGGGCCTCAGTTTCCCTACCCGGCCAGAGGGTCGCTGCAGGGTCCAACTTGCTTAAAGGACACAAACACAACATGCAGAACCGGCCCCCGTCTCTCTGAGCCTGCTTCCCCTCCTGGCCACATCGACCCGTCACCACAGAGGGCCTTGAAAGAACGAACTTAACGTAAAAGCACAGGAAAAAAATGGTCGCGGCTGCAACAATAACGTCAAGGAGGGCGCCATTCGGGTCGCAGAGCCCTTCCTGAGACTGTACGACGCCAAGGACCGAACGCCCAGCACGGAGAAGCGGCCCGGAATCCGAAGGGCCGTCTGCCCCCAAGCGGCGCCTCGGCCGGCACAGGCCGCTCGCCGCGCCCCCCCTTCCCCTCCGCGCGGGCGCGAACCGACCTGCGGCCGCTCCCCTGGCGCACGGCGCGCCGCACTCCGGCTCCTCCAGCATCGCCCCGGCGGCGGCTAGAGCTCCCCTCGGGCGGCGGAGGCGCGGGCTCCGCTCCGGCGGCAGCTGCTGCTCGCCCTCCCGCCCGCACCGCTCCTGCCGCGCCCGCCGCGCTCGTATTTGGCGGGAACCGCGGCGACCCCCGCAGCCCGAGTGCCGATTGGACGAAGTCGCATCACGTGACGTCCCGCCTCGGGAATCGGGGAGCGCCGGAAGCATCCTCGCGAGATCCGTGGCCTCTATTCCTCCCCATGGCTCCCCTACTGATATTCCCGCGGAGGGGAGGGCTTCCTCTCTGCGGCCTGTCATTGGCGGGGAGGAGGTGTTTTGCGATTGGAGATCCGAAGTGTCAAGCTGAGAGATCGACACTGTGATTGGCTGAGTGCGTGGGCTAGGTCGGGAGGAGGAGGGAGGGCCAAGCTCTTACGTCATGACGAAACGTTTTACGTAGGGCGCTGGCCACAACCTGAAACTGCGATTTAGGTCGAGACCGAGTGAAGTTTTGAGTTTATCTTAACTGCACATTGGTTGAATATAGCAACGGCGATTAGAATTATAAGTTACTTTTTCTATGAACAAAAATAAAATCTGGGCAGCCCTTCAGCAGCATTTGATATGCAATAAATATATTCAGAGGGAATGAATGAAGTGGATGTTTCTGGGTTCATCCTCAGGATTTTTGCACACGCTGTTTCCTCGACTAGAAAACTCTTTCCACGGCTTTTTTCCTGGCTAATTTCTATCTAACTTTCAGATCTTAGATCGACACCTCAGAGAAGCCTTTTCTCCCTTACCCCCAACAAAAAGTGCCTCCAATGGTCTTTCTCTTGAAGCAATTACAGCTTATGTTTATTTGTTAGTGCATTATTTGATTAATGAATTTATTTGTTTTTGTCATTAGCTCCATGAGGGCAGGAATCATTTGCCGACGTATCCCAGGACCTATCAATGGCTGATACATTAGTAGGTAGGTACTCAATGAATATTTGCGTGAATGCATAAATATCATTTCATTGGACTGTGTAATCATGTAGGTTAAAAGCCTCACGGAGAACAGAGATCTTCAGTGTGTCAGCCTGCAAGAGATAAGTTTTCTTCATCACAGATTTAATTTCTCAGGCAGAGCAAAAGTGAGAAAGCTGAAAGCGAGCCCAAGTCTGAAATTGTATCGATACCGTAGATTAGGAGAAATCTAGAAATTGGGGACATCGGTTTTGTCAAGTCACGTCTTACTCAAGGCCACAGTTTCCCTGTAAGAACCACGAGGATGTTTTCCCTCCATTCCTTGACATTCTGGCATTATACAATGATTTAGTCCAGTGGATCACCATTGAAGGTACCCATTATACGCACACGAGGTTTTTTTCAAATTACTCGTAACAGCCCATCAGGATCTTCGAGAGGGAGGTTGGGGCATGCCTATTCTGAAACAATTTTCTGACCTAGTCCAGTACCTTCAGTCGGGCATTTGGAAACTTCCAGTAACTTTCCGCTTCAGTAAATCACCTAAATCTGTCAGAGATTTCAGCACCGACATTGCAAGCACTTTAGTCGCTTTCTTGCTCCTCTATTTACTTGTTCTGACTCTAATTTTCGATACTAATTTTCGATTCATTCAATAAATAGTCATCGATAAGAATTGATTTTAAAAGTCACTATCAATAAACATGTGTCAGTTCAGGAAGGTTTCCTGGAGGAGGAGACATTCCGAGCAGATTACTCTTTTACACACAAATAATGGGGCGAAAAGATTAGGGAAGATTGTACAAGAGAGGAACGACATTAACGAAGACCCGTAGGCAACCGGGATCATGGATGACGGGAGAGGAAGAGAGCCGAAATCAGAGGGTCGACGGGGCCAAATGATGCAATCTTCGTAGGCCATGTTAGGAAGTTGGGAATGTATTCTGGGGGCAGTAGGTGGACTTTAAATAGGTGACTGTGATCTGAATCGTGTCACAGAAGCATCTTTCGGCTTCCTGACAGGGGAGGAAGTGGTGGAGAGAACTTGAACGTGGGCGTATCAGAGAGGAAGCTGATGGAATGGCCCGGTTAGGGCAGGGACGACTGTAGGGCTAGTGGAAAGGAGGTAGAAGTGACGCCCTGATGTCTGACTTGGGCAACTGAACGGATGAGCACGGGGTAGGATTGGAGGTGAGATGGGAAGCGCTAAACGCATAGAGGAACTCCGTATGGCTGAGATTAGCAAACAGGTATCTGGATATTTATAAACCCTGTCTCCCAACCTCTCCGGAAAGCTTTAAGCGCATTTCCGAAGACATGAGGGCTACCTCCCTGACTCCAGGGGACGCTGCAGGCGCCACGGCCGCTCTAGGCTCGCCCGTTCCACTCGCTGGCAGAAGCGGCCGCTCGCGCTGCAGGCGACGTGCGTGTGAGCCCGCGGGCCGGCAGGGGGCGCACGTACGCAGACGGGGCCGGAAGTGTGCGG